AATACTAGCGATACTTGCGATATTCCTGAAATAATAGATTATGTAGACCCGGATGATAATAAACTATGCACGATTGCGGTAACTAGTGACATGGTCCTCAGACAAATAGAGAAACTAAAACCTAACAAATCCCCAGGTCCTGATGAACTGTTTGCAAGGGTGTTAAAAGAATGTAAAGAGGAACTTAGCATACCTATGGCTAATCTTTTTAACATATCACTACAAACTGGCATAGTGCCTGATAAGTGGAAAATGGCAAATGTAATACCTATTTACAAGGCAGGTGACAGGTTCTTGGCTTCGAACTATAAACCAATAAGCCTTACCTCCATAGTGGGAAAATTTATGGAATCAATAATTGCCGAAGCAATTCGTAGCCATCTTGATAGACACAGATTGATTAATGAATCTCAACACGGTTTTACAAAGGGGCGTTCCTGTCTTACGAATTTACTAATTTTTTTCACTAAGGTGTTTGAGGAGGTAGATCATGGTAATGAATATGATATTGTGTATATAGACTTCAGTAAGGCTTTCGATAGAGTTCCACACCAGAGGCTATTGAGGAAACTTAAGGCACACGGAATAGGAGGAGAAATTTTTTCCTGGGTAGAGGCATGGCTGACAAATAGGCAGCAGAGAGCTTGCATAAATGGGGAGAAATCAGAATGGGGGCACATCAAAAGCAGTGTTCCTTAGGAGTCAGTGTTGGGCCCATTGTTGTTCACAATTTACATAAACCACATAGATGAGGGAATAAATAGCGACATAAGCAAATTTGCTGATGACACCAAAATAGGCCGTCCAATTCGTTCTAATGAGGACACTAGAACACTCCAGGATGATTTGAATAGACTGATTCAATGGTAGAAGTGGCAGATGCAGTTTAATATTGACAAATGCAAAGTTCTAAATGTTGGACAGGTAAATAACCATGCCACATATAAACTAAATAATGTAGGTCTTAATACTACTGATTGCGAAAAGGATTTAGGAGTCCTGGTTAGCAGTAATCTAAAACCAAGACAACAGTGCATTAGTGTTCGCAGTAAAGCTAACAGAATTCTTGGCTTCATATCTAGAAGTATAAATAATAGAAGTCCTAAGGATGTTCTTCAACTCTATATATCCTTGGTTAGGCCTCATTTAGACTATGCTACTCAGTTCTGGTCACCGTATTACAGAATGGATATAAATGACTCACGAAATCGTAATGACATAAATGCTCTGGAAAACGTACAGAGGAGGATGACAAAGATGATCCCATGTATCAGAAATCTTCCCTATGAGGATAGACTGAGGACCCTGAATCTGCACTCTCTAGAAAGGCGTAGAATTAGGGGGGATATGATCGAGGTGTATAAATGGAAAACAGGAATAAATAAAGGGGATGCAAATAGCAATGGTTTCAAGTTGGAAAAATTCAGATTCAGGAAGGATATAGGAAAGCACTGGTTTGGTAATAGAGTTGTGGATGAGTGGAACAAACTCCCGAGTACAGTTATTCCTGGAGTACCTGGAGTTTACCTGGAGAGAGTTCCGGGGGTCAACGCCCCCGCGGCCCGGTCTGTGACCAGGCCTCCTGGTGGATCAGAGCCTGATCAACCAGGCTGTTGCTGCTGGCTGCACGCAAACCAACGTACGAGCCACAGCCCGGCTGGTCAGGAACCGACTTTAGGTGCTTGTCCAGTGCCAGCTTGAAGACTGCCAGGGGTCTGTTGGTAATCCCCCTTATGTATGCTGGGAGGCAGTTGAACAGTCTCGGGCCCCTGACACTTATTGTATGGTCTCTTAACGTGCTAGTGACACCCCTGCTTTTCATTGGGGGGATGTTGCATCGTCTGCCAAGTCTTTTGCTTTCGTAGTGAGTGATTTTCGTGTGCAAGTTCGGTACTAGTCCCTCTAGGATTTACCAGGTGTATATAATCATGTATCTCTCCCGCCTGCGTTCCAGGGAATACAGGTTTAGGAACCTCAAGCGCTCCCAGTAATTGAGGTGTTTTATCTCCGTTATGCGCGCCGTGAAGGTTCTCTGTACATTTTCTAGGTTAGCAATTTCACCTGCCTTGAAAGCAATATTCCAGCCTAGATAGAACAAGTGACCTGAAGAGTGTCATCATGGGCTTGGCATCCCTAGTTTTGAAGGTTCTCATTATCCGTCCTGTCATTTTTCTAGCAGATGCGATTGATACAATGTTATGGTCCTTGAAGGTGAGATCCTCCGACATGATCACTCCCAGGTCTTTGACGTTGGTGTTTCGCTCTATTTTGTGGCCAGAATTTGTTTTGTACTCTGATGAAGATTTAATTTCCTCGTGTTTACCATATCTGAGTAATTGAAATTTCTCATCGTTGAACTTCATATTGTTTTCTGCAGCCAACTGAAAGATTTGGTTAATGTCCGCCTGGAGCCTTGCAGTGTCTGCAATGGAAGACACTGTCATGCAGATTCGGGTGTCATCTGCAAAGGAAGACACGGTGCTGTGGCTGACATCCTTGTCTATGTCGGATATGAGGATGAGGAACAAGATGGGAGCGAGTACTGTGCCTTGTGGAACAGTGCTTTTCACCGTAGCTGCCTCGGACTTTACTCTGTTGACGACTACTTTCTGTGTTCTGTTAGTGAGGAAATTATAGATCCATCGACCGACTTTTCCTGTTATTCCTTTAGCACGCATTTTGTGCGCTATTACGCCATGGTCACACTTGTCGAAGGCTTTTGCAAAGTCTGTATATATTACATCTGCATTCTTTTTGTCTTCTAGTGCATCTAGGACCTTGTCGTAGTGATCCAATAGTTGAGACAGACAGGAGCGACCTCTTCTAAACCCATGTTGCCCTGGGTTGTGTAACTGATGGGTTTCTAGATGGGTGGTGATCTTGCTTCTTAGGACCCTTTCAAAGATTTTTATGATATGGGATGTTAGTGCTATCGGTCTGTAGTTCTTTGCTGTTGCTTTACTGCCCCCTTTGTGGAGTGGGGCTGTCTGTTGTTTTTAGTAACTGTGGGACGACCCCCGTGTCCATGCTCCCTCTCCATAGGATGGAAAAGGCTCGTGATAGGGGCTTCTTGCAGTTCTCGATGAACACGGAGTTCCATGAGTCTGGCCCTGGGGCAGAGTGCATGGGCATGTCATTTATCGCCTGTTCGAAGTCATTTGGCGTCAAGATAACATCGGATAGGCTTGTGTTAACCAAATTCTGTGGCTCTCTCATAAAAAATTCATTTTGATCTTCGACTCTCAGTCTGGTTAGCGGCTTGCTAAAAACTGAGTCATATTGGGACTTGAGTAGCTCACTCATTTCCTTGCTGTCATCTGTGTAGGACCCATCTTGTTTAAGTAGGGGCCCAATACTGGACGTTGTTCTCGACTTTGATTTGGCATAGGAGAAGAAATACTTTGGGTTTCTTTCGATTTCATTTATGGCTTTTAGTTCTTCCAGCGATTCCTGACTCCTATAAGATTCCTTTAGCTTAAGTTCGATGCTTGCTATTTCTCTGACCAGTGTCTCCCTACGCATTTCAGATATATTGACCTCTTTTAGCCGCTCTGTTATTCTTTTCCGTCGCCTGTAAAGAGAGCGCCTGTCTCTTTCTATTTTACATCTACTCCTCCTTTTTCTTAGAGGAATAAGCCTTGTGCATACATCGAGTGCCACCGAGTTAATCTGTTCTAGGCATAAGTTGGGGTCTGTGTTGCTTAGTATATCTTCCCAGCTTATATCAGTTAGGACTTGGTTTACTTGGTCCCACTTTATGTTTTTGTTATTGAAGTTGAATTTGGTGAATGCTCCCTCGTGACTAATCTCATTATGTCGGTCTGGGGCTCCGCGCATGCATGTCTGAACCTCAATTATGTTGTGATCTGAGTATATTGTTTTTGATATGGTGACATTTCGTATCAGATCATCATTGTTAGTGAAGATGAGGTCTAGTGTATTCTCCAGTCTAGTAGGCTCTATTATTTGCTGGTTTAAATTGAATTTTGTGCAGAGTAGTTTTAAAAATAAGTTAGATAAATACATGAGTGGATGTGGGTGGGTGTGAGTTTGACCTGACTAGCTTGTGCTGCTGGGTCTGATGCCGTGCTCCTTCCTTGAGTGGAGGTGACCAGACTGGATGGGTCATTGGGCTAATCCGGGGTGGGTGGGTCATCGGGCTAATCCTGGGGGGGACACGGACCTGCTCCGCATGGGTCAGTAGGTCTGTTGCAGTGTTCCTTCTTTATTATGCTCATATGAAAGTGATGCAGCTTTAAGTGAAGGTACGACAACGCTGATCGTTCGTAGGCTGAAAGGCGAGGCCATGAGCCGAGATTTGATCCTCGACAAAGGTAATTGATGAATATATAAATGAGCCACAGTAACATTAGTAAATATACTTAGTCTTAGTGATTAGAAAGTGCGGGTGAATGAACTAGATAATAACGAATTTAAGCATACAACATATAATAGTTTTATTTAGAAAATAAGTCACTTTATGTGACTTATTTTTGGGTAATTTACACTATGTATGGTAATTGTACTTATGTGTACCTGTGTCTAAATAAACTTATTATTTTCTGTTAGTCAATCGAATGCGATGGGCCAAGAGGTACAGCTTACCCTAGCAAACTCAAATAGGAAATTACAAACAGGCTATTACAGACGTCTAGTAAGAGGCGGGACCAGGATCTAAAAACTTATTTTTATAAGGACAACTCTGTGTGTACATTAAAAAAAAGAAAATAATTCATGATGACGGTTATAACAGCAACTATTAAACATATTTTCAGTACGTTGATTATCAAAGGAAGCTTTAGTCATCTAAACAGCTGATTTGAATCAAAATAAACAGAGCAGTGCGTTAGCTCTCACTTTAACCAATAAAAATTCAGAGTTAATGTGAGGACCAATGAGAAGAGAGAGTGTAATTAAGAGCAACCAATGAGAAGTGAGAGTGACGAGAGAGTCACCAATAAGCTGCCAGTGTTGCTCCACCAGTTATCTCTCTCTATATGAAGATGTGGCGGCCAGACACACTCACAGTGTGAGCCACTTTTGGAGGCATTTATCCCATTTTCGGCGTTATTTTGAGGCAGCCATGGCGTGTGCAGGGCAAGGTATGTGTGTGGTGGAGGCTGTCACAGCTCTCAACCTCCGCGAGGATCTTCATTGATGTTAAATATGTGAAAATACAGTGAGTCATTGCTGCCTCTTGATGCTTTCTCCAGCCAATTTGTTATTAATTTAGATTTGCGTCACACACAGCTTAAACGTCTTTACAACAGTCGGTATTAATAAATAAAGTTGATTAGTTATGGTGATTTTTAACTAAGATTAATTCATTGAAGCTTAAAATAATATTCAGAACAAAGGAACCCCAGTGGAAATAAGTCACTTTATTTTTTGGTTATCTTAGGTAATTTACACTATGTATGACAGTTGTACCTGTGCCAAAATAAACTTGCTTAATGAGAATAAATTACACTATGGATGTTTTGTATTAGAATTTTATAACTTATCCTGGCTACAGTTATTTATTACCCGGTAGAACTATGGCATTAATTCACATTTTACACTGCATACATTTTTCTCCCTCAGGGGAGGTTCCTTGATATTGCTGAGGGACTTGATCCAAGTAATTGGACCTGTACTCTGTCTCCTTTGAATCGAGCCCGAATGCCTTTTCTTTTTTTCCCCAGGCTGTGACCCCTTGCAGATTTAGCGCTTACCATGAATGCAATAAAAATGCAACACAAGGACCCCAGTGGAATAAGTTGCTTTTACTTTTTTAGGTTATCTTAGGTAATTTATGACCCTTGTGGGTTTAATGCTTATTATAATAATGTAATTTATGCAATATCATAATTATTCTTGTGTACCTGTACCTAAATAAACTTGCAAACAAACCATACCCCCAGCCGGGATTGAACCCGCGGTCATAGTCTCAAAAGGACCCCAAGGACTCAAAGGACCCCAATGGAAATAAGTCACTCTGTCTGACTTTTTTGGGTTATCCTAGGTTCTCTACACATATGCTGCTATGTATGATAATTCTATGTAACTGTATTGTGTATACCTGAATAAATTTACTTACTTACTAACTCCAGCCCGTCGCGTTAGCCACTAGACCAGCGACGGGCTGGAGTTTTGAGACTCCATGACCGTGGGTTCAATCCCGGCCGGGGGTATGGTTTATTTGCAATCGTGTCATTACGATTTCTTGAGTCATAAACTTGCAACTTAAGTACACCAAGGAATAAACAAGTACTGTATATCTCGTGGGTGTTATTTTGGGAGATAGACAAAAATTGTTTATTTACTTTGGTATTCCAGCACTTCTAGGCCAATCACCATTTAGTATCGAGTGATGTCACATGTCTGGCTATATGGAGAGACGTGCCACTACTGATTGTGGAGTAAGGTTAAGCTGCATTTGGGTGAACATAGGGTTGATAATGTTGTCATCTCTGAGGGACTGGGGAGTGCTCCCCAGCACAGTTGAAGCATAAGGCATCTTTCCTTGCACCTGCTTCACCTGTTGACATAACAGTAAGTAGGTACATGGGTGTTAGTAGAATTGTGGGTTGCATCCTGGGGAAGAATATTAAAGGGCTCCATTGGAAAAAAGATTAACTGCCCCCAGTGATGCACAGGATTGATTAGGTTAACTTGGGTTACTAACTCTGTATTAATAATCCAAAGAAACCCTTAGGCTGGGTTTGGTGGATTTTGTTAACCTGAGAGAAATATACTTAGAAATAGTTTTCATCTGTTTTATCCAAGTATGCTGTACCCAATGAGAACAAGGGTTAAAATATAATATTCTAATCAGACTTTTTTATATTGAACATATAAAACAATCCTCATTGAAGCAGTTGCAAGGGTTATCACAATTTATCACAATTCTATTTCATAACCCACAACCATGAATACCTCACAAGAATTAAGTCAATTTATATATTTTTACCATTTTCACAATAAAATATCTCGATTGTAAAGCCAACTTAATATTGTACAGTCCAAACTATAATGATCAAAATCCACTGAGGAGCAGTCTTCTGTTATAGTATCACCAAAGTTAGATTGGGTCAAGTTGGCCTGTGCAAATATATATTTAACCACACTTAAATACAAAAAAAAAAAAAAAAAAAAAAAAAAATAATCGACAGCGGACAATCTAGTGACTTCGCAGAACCAGGAAGTGGTTTTGAACCAGTTCCATTCCCAATGTTTCAACTTGCAAAGTAGTTTGTGACCCTGAGCGTATTATGTTAGAAAAAGATAGTACAAAGAATGAGGGTGTCAAGCATATTCCTAACTGCAGATTGGCATTTATAATACAATTGGTTTTTTGATACCATGAAGTCTTTTATCTAGTGTATCTTGTTACTTGGGCCTTTATTAGTCAGGGGTCTCTGTATGGTGTTATAAAGTGAGAACAGTAATCCAAATTATTTGGTGGCATTTGGTCGATCATTGATATAAAGCAGAGCTTAATAGGACTTTAACAAATGGCTTTTATTTTTTTTTTTAATGCTGTAAAAGGTGTAGAAAATAATGTTACATTCCATGCTCAGGTGTGGTAACTACTGCTGTAACTGAGATTCTTAATATTTATGTAAGCTTGGTGAATTTGATCTGTATCATTACAATAAGCCTAAATTACAAATAGATCTACATTAACCCTTTGACTGTTTCGGTCGTATATATACGTCTTATGCACCACTATTTCTGATGTATTTATACGCGTACATTCTACCGGCTTCAAATCAAGCGGAAGGAAGCTGGTAGGCCCACATGTGAGAGAATGGGTCTGTGTGGTCAGTGTGCACCACATAAAAAAAATCTTGCAGCACGCAGTGCGTGATGAGAAAAAAAAAACTTTTGTTTTTTGGATTAAAATGCCGACTTTGAGGTGTATTTTCGTATAGTATTTATTGTTGTATTCTCGTTTTCATGGTCTGTGATAAAATGGAAAACATATTACAGAAATAGAGATAATTTTGATTACTTTCACAATGAAAACGACCTTGAAATTGAGCTCAAAGTAGCGGAAATGTTCGATTTTTACCAATGTTGAGGAGTAAGCAAATCGCACCACACGTCCAGTACACTTCAACTGGGGAGTCTAATATTCTTTCACTAGTACACTGATATTTATACCATTTTTACAATAATGCAGTAGTCTGCATAACAGTAAATTTTGTATTTTTTTGTATGAATAAAAAATAAAAATAGAAAGCAGTAGTAATAAAAGAGGGGCCCAGAGATGTGACTAATGAACAGAAGATATGTTATTTTAGTGCCAAGAATGTCTACATCGTTTATTCTGGACCCTATTTTGAAATTGGCATCTTTTTTAATTTGTGTGATATTGGCCAAATTGCCAATTTCTGACCACTTTATTGGGTAGTTCAAATTGGTAAATGGGCGTTTTCTTGTACTCAACTGATAGAAAAAATGGAGTTCTAAAGAAATAGCTATGAGTTTGGTCAACTGGAACAATGGAATTGGCCATAAACAGGGCTCAGTCGGCGAAATCGCCGTTGCATATATGTCGCCGAGACCGCTAACTTTGCGGGAGCGTAATTCCGTGAATGTTTGACCAAATTTTGTACTTTTTGGTGTTATTACCATTGGGAAAAGATTCTCTGTCATTTCATAAGAAATTTTTTTTTCCCAAAAATTTATCGACATAGAATAATAGTTCCAGAAAGGGGCCTGCGACAGTCAAAGGGTTAATTGTATATACTCTATATAGGTTGAATTTAGTTTGTTGCTTTGGAAGGAAGACCTGTTCAGTTCATTGAGAAAGCATACATTTCTAGATTTTGACATGTAATTAGAGATGTAATTTTTAACCCTTTGAGGGTCGACAGGCCCTCTCCGAAACTCGTTCTCAGGGTCGGCCAAATTTAAAAAAAAAAAAAATTATTTTCTCTTATGAAAAGATAGAGAATCTTTTCCCGATCATAAAGACACCAAAAGTTTGAAATTTGATAGAAAACTTACGGAATTATGCTCTCGCCAAGTTAGTGGTCTCGGCGATGTTTACGCATCGGCGATTTTGCCCACTTTGAGCCCCATTTTCGGCCAATTTCACTGTACTAGTCGACAAAAAACGTGAATATTTCGCTAGAACTCCATTTTTTCTATCGAATGGGTGCAAGAAACCACCCATTTATGAAATTCAACTATCCAGTACAGTGGTCAGAATTTAGCAATTTTGCCAATTTCACACAAATTTCAAAAGATGCCAATTTCCGAATAGGGCCCAGAATAAACAAGAAAGACATTCCTGGCACTAAAATGACATTTCCTCTAGTCATTAGTCACGTCTCAAGGCCCCTCTTATATTCTTTTGCTTTCCACTTTGAATTTTTATTCTCACAAAAAATATAAGATTTACTGTTATGCAGACTACTGCATTAGTGTAGAAAATGGTATAAATATTATTGGTGCACTTGTGAAAGAATATTACTCACCAGTTGACGTGTATTGCACGCTTAGCACGATTTGTTTACTTTTGAAGTTTGGTAAAAATCGAACATTTCTGCTACTTTGAGCTCAATTTCAAGGCACTTTTCATTGTAAAACCAGTCAAAATCATCTCAGTTTCTGTAATATGTCTTCCATTCTATAAAATGAGACCAAGAAAACTAGAATACAACAATAAATACCATACGAAAATACACTGCAAAGTCGCTGATTTATTCCAAAAAAAATGGTCAAAGTTTTTTTTTCTCATTATGCACTGTGTGCTGCAGGATTTTTTTTAGACTGTGCACACTGACCACATAGACCCATTCTTTCATATGAAGGCCTACTAGCTTTCTCCCACTAGATTTGAGGCCGCTAGAATTTATGCGTACTAGTACGTCAAAAACCCCTACGCGTAAGACGTACTAGTACGACCAAAACCCTCAAAGGGTTAATTGAAGATGTATATTTTTTAAGTACATTGCTGTATCTTGGAAATACAGATCCTGAAGGTGTATGACTGATTTGATCTATTATACTGGAACAGAACATGGTTTCATGAGTGCCGAAGAGATGGATGAGCAGCGGCAGAAAAATATTTCATACCAGTACCTGTGTCATCTCGAGGAAGCAAAGAAGTAAGATTACTAGTATTCTGATGGTAGAATTAGCTTAGTCTTAGGGAAGGGGAGGGGAAGAAAGGATGCGTAAGCTAGAACCAGTTATGCCACTTTTTTACTGAAATCCATGCAGTAATTTTTTTTTTTTTTTTTTTGGCACTGAGAAGAAAACGTGTTAACTCGTCAGTGAGGGGAAATGGGCATAATGAATGAAAATTGTTTTCTGTACAAAAATATTCGTCAATCTAAAATAAAACTACATAGTTAGATTAAAATTGCTTGGTTGGTTACCAAGATGTTTCAAACATGCTGCAAAGGCTTTTAGGCATTTTTCACAAAAGAACATTTGGCCAGTTCGTTTTTTTCTTCTCAGTGCCTTGTATGATCCCTAAACTGAGGAGTAAAAATTCATTAAGTTTTTTATTATCAGTGTTAATATTAACCCTTCAACTGTCCAAACATAGATCTACTTTTTTTTTTTACATAAAAAAGCATGTAAAATCTAACGTCAACTACGTTTGGAGCGCTATGCAAGCGAACGTAGATCTACGTTTGGACAGTTTAAGGGTTAAGCAGATTAGAGCAATATTTAAAGAGATGTCTAAATAACATTTAAATAACATATATTTACCAAATTTTCTGTTATCTCTATTGTTTGACTGCTACACACATTGATTTCCCATGCCTTTCTTATTAATGTCAGTATACTACCTTAAGCCAGTTTAGCAATGCAGTACAGTGGTACCCTGAGTTTCGGCCTTAATTCGTTCCACAAGGTTGTTCGAGTGCCATTACCGAACGAATTTGTTCCCATAAGGAATAATGTAAATTAAATTAGTCCGTTTAAGACACCCCAAAAATACACTTACAGAAGCACTTAAAATGATACATAATTGTTCGAGTTGAGAACTGTACGAAACTTGGGGTACCACTGTATTTAAAAAGATATTAAAAACACATTAAAAACTTTCAGTGTAAGTTCGTACTCCGGCATGTAAGGAGAGGGAGTCTTCAGACCATAGCCAGGGTTCTACTTTTTTACAAATTTGGATAAAATTTTTAGTTGGTTAGCCTATCATTGTGACGGCACATATTTTGTATTCAGTATGATATTGTATTGCCTTTGTCAAATTGTCACCATATTGAATAAGTCATAATTTATTCACTTCAGTATTTTTTATATACAGTAGAACCCCTGTAGCCACAGGTTTGATTTCTGTGGTTTCAGTTGTCTGTGGTTTACTGTTGCCTGAGAAATAACCCTTAATTTTGCGTAATTACCACAAAGCACAAAAGTAGTGATGGTGGCAGCTCTTCAGAGCCTAAGAGAATCCATGAAGTGCTTACCATCTGTGGAAGTCTAATTCTCTTATTTTGCATAATTTATCAATTAAACTATCATACGTAGGTATGTATGAAAGCAAAAAACGACATATGCAGGGATTGCTACTATCCACAGTTTCGGGTATCTATGGTAGGTCTTAGAACGTATCTCTGTGGATGTGAGGGGATTACTGTATATTATTGTATATTATTAATTTTCCTTCATAAATAAATTACAGTGGAACCCCAAGTTTCATCCTTAATCCGTTCCAGGAGCTAGGACTAAAGTCAAAGCAATATTTCCCATAAGAAATAATGTAAATCCAATTAATCCATCCCAGACCCACAAAAATATTCACAAAAAATACGTGTTTTAAAGAATAACTATAGTTATACATACAACACAGATAAATACATATAGTACTTAAATTAGTAATATAATAGATAAATTAACATTTAAATAAACATTTAAAATAACATTTATTTACCTTTATTGAAGACTGTTGCTGGCATCTGGAAGATAGGTAGTAGTAGTGAGGGAGCACTTATTGTTTGGAAGGGGAATCCCCTTCCATAAAGTCTAGGTAACAAGTCCTTATCTGGGGTTACTTCTCTTCTGTCTTTTAATGTCACTAGGACCAGTTTGAGGCACTGGACCCCTGTTGCATAAAATAACTGTCTAGAATCCTCTGTTTCTGGCACCTCTTTAACATTTCCCTAAAATGGGACATGGTTCTGTCTGAACTTGTTGCAGAAATGGCTTGTTTCAGCTTGCTCAGGGTGGTATTTTTGCACAAAATTTTGCAACCTATTCCACATATGTCCCTAATCACTGAAGAAGGCACCTCCACTCCCTCTTCCTCCTCCTCTTCCTCTTCTGAAGGAAGTTCGTCAGCTGTGGTCTGATGCTATTCCAGATGAAGCTCTTGCAGCTCTTCAATGGTTAGCTCTTCCCAGTGGTCCCCCACCAACTCTTCCACATCCTCGCCACTTACCTCCAACCCCATGGGCCTTCCCAGTGCCACAATACCTTCCACAACAGGCAGAGGGTCAACAGGGTTAGCCTCAAACCCTTCAAAATAGCTCTGGAGGACACATTCTGGCCACAGTTGTCTCCAAGCAGAGTTCAAAGTCCTGGAAATCACTCCTTCCCAAGCCTTACCTATAAGGCTTGTGCAATTTAGGATAGTGGACTCTCTTAGGGTCAACTGAGTGTCTGAGGTCACTTCAAAGCACAGTTATAAAACTGAAGTCCCTAGACAATAGGTCTTCAAAGTTTGGAGGATGAGCAAGAGCATTGTCCATTGCCAGGAGACACTTGAGTGGCAAATTATTGTCCAGGAGGTATTTTTTCACACTAGGGCCAAACACTTCATGGAGCCACTCTTTGAAAATGTGCCTCGTGACCCATGCCTTATTAGCTTTCCACAACACACGTACTTTATTCTTGATGTAGTTTTTCTTGAAAACACTGGGATTTTCTGAGTGATACACCAGAAAAGGCTTCGCTTTAAAATCCCCACTAGCATTAGTACAGAACAAGAGTTAGCTGTTTTTTTATAGGCTTGTGTCCTGGCAGTGCCTTTTCCTCCTGTGTTATGTAGGTCCTCTTTTGCATTTTCTTCCAAAAGAGGCCTGTTTCGTCACAATTAAACACTTGTTGGGGTTTGAATTTTTCAGTCTCTACGTACCCCTTAAATTCACTTACGAATTTTTCAGCTGCATACTTGTCAGAACTGGCAGCCTCGCCATGCCTTGCCACACTGTGTATGCCACTATGCATCTTAAATCTGTCAAACCAGCCTCTGCTGGCCTTAAATTTACTAACATCAGCACTTGCAGGCATTTTCTTTGAGATCGTCGTGCAGCTGCCTTACCTTTTCACAAATGAGCGACTCTGAAACTATCACCGCTGTTTATTGTTGATCCACACCACCAACTTCTCAACTTCTCAACTAGGAAGTTTCTTTGGGCCCATTGTGACTTATTTCACAGTCGCACTCAATAAACAAGCACCAAACAATGAATTGTGAAATATTTGGATGAGCGGGCAGGGTAATGTTCACTCAAAGATAAACAAAGCCAGACTGACTCACGACGCCTATGCGGAGAGGTGTGAAGGCACGGACAGGTGTGGTACACGGGATGAAACACGGGGCACAGTGTGTAACTCGGGACAAAATTTAGCTGAAAAACGGTTCTAAACTTGAAGCATATGATACTCAGGTCGTACGAAACTCGGGGTTCCACTGTACCACAGTAGTTAACTACAAAACAGTTGAGTGGTGGAATGTAGATGTATTGTCCTATCAACAGATGGATGGAAGCTTGCATAAATGAAGAGTTGCCAGAAGCTGGGGACTTGGAGGAACAATTGCGCCATGGTGTCTATCTAGCCAAGATTGCCCATTTTTTTGCTCCAGAAACTGTGCCACTCCGCCGAATATATGATGCAGATCTGACAAAATATCGGGCAGTTGGGCTAACATTCAGGCACACAGACAATATTAGCCATTTTCGCAAGGCTTTGGAAAAAATTAAGTTGCCTAGTGTAAGTTTTTTATCTCGTTACTCTGCTTTTAATGAACTTTAGTATTTTAGACCCAAGTTTCTGGTTTCTTTACAATATAGAGTATTCCTAGGGCTCTGGGAAATGAAACATTCCAGTCCTGTTTAAGCTTTTTTCAAAGCATAATCTATACTATAATAAATGGTGGTCCAAGCTTATAGGAGATGAAATTAATTTAACTTAACATTGTCTTATCCAAGGAAAATGCTAACGATGTTAAAATTGTTTAGTAGTGATGTCTGCAAGTTTTTTTTTTTTTTTTTTTTTTTTTTTTTTGTCTGAAAGTGAAAATTTTGGAATACTACATTACTCTTTGCATTTTGAATAATTTGCAGGCAAGATAAGCTTACATTGTTTCCATGCCACCCAGGCTAACTGATGAATTTAATTTTGGCTTCTATGAATGAGAGAGACTAGGTTAGGTTTAATGGAGCAACATATTACAATATGATGAATTTTGTATTTTTATTACAGATCTTCTATCCTGAGACAACAGATGTGTATGATCGCAAGAACATGCCTCGAGTTGTATTTTGCCTTCATGCTCTCAGTCTCTATCTTTTTCGTCTTGGGATTGCTCCACAGATACAAAACCTGTATGGCAAAGTTGTATTCTCAGGTTAGTGGCATGATTATCAGTAATTCATTAAGACTGAATCTTGTAGGAAAGTATTTTTTACAATCCTACATGTTATTGTGAAACAATGAAATGTTTATGTACCTTCAGAGAGTAATTAGTTGTAGTTTAAAAATACAAAGCTTTTCCTTGATGATTTAAATTTGTTGCTGCATATAATACTGAAGTGAGGAACAAAAAACATGATAATAAACAGGGATGATTTAAGGTAATTAAATTAAGCTTGAGCATGTTTAACCCTTAAACTGTCCAAATGTAGATTTACGTTTGCATGCGTAGTGCTCCGACCTTGATTTTCCCCATTTGAAAACTTTAAAAAAAAAAAAAAATTGATCTATGTTCGGAGCACTATGCAAGCGAACGTTTGGACAGTTTAGTTTTTTTTTAAGTCGGCAGTCTCCCACCGAGGCAGGGTGACCCAAAAAGAAAATACTTTCATCATCATTCAACACTTTCACCTCACTCACACACAATCACTGTTTTTTGCAGAGGTGCTCAGAATACAACAGTTTAGAAGTATATATGTATAAAGATACACAACATATCCCTCTAAACTGCCAATATCCCAAACTCCTCCTTTAAAGTGCAGGCATTGTACTTCCCATTTCCCGGACTAAAAGGCTTTGTACTAACAGTGTTTCTTTGGTTGCACATCCTTCTTTTATTTTCTGCTATATTTATATTGTTTCTAACTTATTTCTTTTCTTACCTTCCACTTTACACTTAGAGGCATCTCATAATGCAGAGGCTCTTATTTGTGTTATTTTTACCTGAGGAAGAACAAACTGCAACAGTTTTTATAGCTAACAACTTATTATTCGGTGAAAGCATTAAAAGCATCATTCAGCGCATCCCACCAGTGGTAGAGTTGGGGCTCTAGTTCTGCCATTTGGGGACAGGTTGACTGCTGCTGCTGGCAGTTTTCTACTGTTTGCCACTTGTCTTTACACTCCCTGCCCTTGCATAGGAATGTCTAATCCCTGTGAATGAAGTGGGGCTGACCTGTCCTGCTGCTGAAGGAAGGACCAGCCCTACCTTCCTCTGCCCATGGGGGCAGCCACTTAAGGAAGGTAGGTTGAAAAACACTCCCAAACCACATGGGTCTTGGTGTCTCCTCGAAGGGTTGGTACGAGTTTCATACTTGGTATTTGTCTACTACAAAAACACTTGGAAAATGTAAAAAGTGTCTGGCACATAGTATGTTATTTTTTTAACTCTACGGTTGCCTCCCTCCAAGGCGGGGGTACCCAAAGAAGATAACATATTCATCATACAGAATAGTCGCAAATACTGTTCTTGGAAAAAACCTCTAAAATCCTATAATTATGAGAGTGATTCTGTAACTTGAAATTATTCAGGATGATCCTAATTGTGGGGTTTTGGTAAACATTCACCATCATTTATTCACTTCGTCTTAATTGGAATGTGCTACCATCAGTTGGATTCCTTTGACTTGAGATCCCCATCTCTCGTTCATGCATAGTTCATAAGCATTGGTCTCATTATTGCAAATAGCTTTTATTAATTTCTAATTTGTTAGTGTTTATTACATCTTGTATATAATTTTTTGCTTTTACAGATGAGGTAATGCAAGCTATGATGAAGGAACTCAGCAAATATGACTGTCAGTTGCCCCAATTTGGCAAGATCGGCGGCATCCTTGCAAATGAGCTACCGGTAGACGAGGCAACTCTGCATGCTGCCATAATTGCTGTTAATGAGGCAATAGAAAAGGGTGTATGTATATATATATTTTTTTTTTTTTTTTTTTTCTACAAGTGCTGATGGTAGAAATTTTCTAAATAGCTTCTATCCAAAAATTAGTGTAAGGTCTGTTGCTGCATTTTTCATACCTTTACATACAAACCTTAGTTGAGGAACAGTTGGAGCTTTCATTACATGCACTGAGATGGAAATGTTTCATTGCACTTCTACTACAGCACTCTTGAATTTTCCTTTTTATCTCTAGATGATAATGCTGATTAACAAATTGGATATTTTAAAAATGGTTTAACCTGAAGAAAATTAAAAATATTTGCTCTATATATTATCAGCATAGCACCAAAAAATATTTTTCTTATTGTGCTACAATCTTGTCCTGTGTGTAAGCAAAATGTGGTTGTGAAGCAAGTAATGTACCATTATTTTTAGAGGTTAAATTAGTGCATTAAGTATGTAAAAAAAATTGTAAAATAAATGTTGGAGATGGATAGTGAGGAACATATGGAGAAATAGGCACCTTAATTTTGAGTAGGTTTTAGGAAAAAATTGCATTGTTTGAGAAGGCATAAAATGGCTTGTATTTTGTGTTAAATATTTGGTAGGTTTTGCATTTGGATTACCTGGTTATTTTATTCTCTTCTTTTGACAGGATCACTCTGAATTGCTGGAAACGCTTATCAATCCTTCATGTCATCTGCAGAATATTCTGGAAGAAAACATAGATAGTTATCTTCAGTGTCTCTCTGATGCCAAGATGCACAAGAAAGAAATGGCTGTAAACAAGGTGAGTCTAAGGCTTCATTATAAGCTGTTTAATCCTAGTGTTTTTTTTTTTTAGATTTTACATAATGGATCTTAATTTGTAGGTTGGTAGACAGCAACCACCCAGGGAGGTGCTACCGTCCTGCCAAGTGAATGTAAAACAAAAGCCTGTAATTGTTTTACATGATGGTAGGATTGTGTTTTTTGTCTCTCATAAATATGCAAGATTACAGGTATGTCTTGCTACTTCTACTTACACTTAGATCACACTACACATACATGTACACGTTTATTTATACACACTCATCTGAGTTTTCTTTGATTTTATCTTAATAGTTCTTGGTCTTATTACTTTTCCTTTTATATCCATGGGGAAGTGGAATAAGAATCTTTCCTCCGTAAGCCATGTGTGTTGTAAAAGTCAACTAAAATGCCGGGAACAATGGGCTAGTAACCCCTTTTCCTGTAAAGATTACTAAAAAGAATAAAAAAATTGTCAAAGTGGGAAGTCTGAATGTGCATGGATGTTGTGCAAATGATAAGAGATGATTGTGGATGTTATGAATGAGAAGAAGCTGGATGTCTTGGCTTTAAGTGAAACAAAGCAGAAGGGGGTGGGAGAGTTTCAGTGGAGAGGAATAAATGGGATTAGGTCAGGGATTTCAAATAGAGTTAAAGAAGGAGTAGCAATAACGTTGAAGGATAAGATATGGCAGGAAAAGAGGGACTATAAATGTATTAATTCAAGGATTATGTGGAGTAAAATAAAGGTTGGATGTGAAAAGTGGGTTATAGTAAGTGTATATGCACCTGGAGAAGAGAGAAGTGTAGAGGGGGGAGAGAGATTTTGGGAAATGTTGAGTGAATGCGTGGGGAGTTTTGAACCAAGTGTGAGAGTACTTGTGGTTGGGGATTTCAGTGCTAAAGTGGGTAAAAATGTTGTGGAGGGAGTAGTAGGTAAATTTGGGGTGCCAGCGGTAAATGTAAATGGGAAGCCTTTAATTGAGCTATGTGTAGAAAGATTTGGTAATAAGTAATACATATTTTATGAAAAAGAGGATAAATAAATATACAAGGTATGATGTAGCACGTAATGAAAGTAGTTTGTTAGATTATGTATTGGTGGATAAAAGGTTAATGGGTAGGCTCCAGGATGTACATGTTTATAGAGGGGCAACTGATATATCGGATCATTATTTAGTTATAGCTACGGTTAGAGTAAGAGGTAGATGGGACAAGAGGAAGGTGGCAACAACAAGTAGAAGGGAAGTGAAAGTGTATAAACTAAGGGAGGAGGAAGTTCGGGTGAGATATAAGCGATTATTGGCAGAAAGGTGGGCTAGTGCAAAGATGAGTAGTGGGGGGGGTTGAAGAGGGTTGGAACAGCTTTAAAAATGCAGTACTAGAATGTGGGGCAGAAGTTTGTGGTTATAGGAGGGTGGGGGCAGGAGGAAAGAGGAGTGATTGGTAGAATGATGAAGTAAAGGGTGTGATAAGAGAAAAAGTTAGCTTATGAGAGGTTTTTACAAAGCAAAAGTGTTATAAGAAGAGCAGAGTATATGGAGAGTAAAAGAAAGGTGAAGAGAGTGGTGAGAGAGTGCAAAAGGAGAGCAGATGATAGTGGGAGAGGCACTGTCAAGAAATTTTAATGAAAATAAGAAAAAATTTTGGAGTGAGTTAAACAAATAAAGCCTAGGGAACGTATGGATTTGTCAGTTAAAAACAGAGTAGGGGAGTTAGTAGATGGGGAGGGGGAGGTATTAGGTAGATGGCGAGAATAGTTTGAGGAACTTTTAAATGTTTAGGAAGAAAGGGAGGCGGTAATTTCATGCACTGGCCAGGGAGGTATACCATCTTTTAGGAGTGAAGAAGAGCAGAATGTAAGTGTGGGGGAGGTACGTGAGGCATTACGGAGAAGGAAGGGGGGTAAAGCAGCTGGAACTGATGGGATCATGACAGAAATGTTAAAAGCAGGGGGAGATATAGTGTTGCAGTGGTTGGTACTTTTGTTTAATAAATGTATGAAAGAGGGGACGGTACCTAGGGATTGGCAGAGAGCATGTATAGTCCCTTTATATGAAGGGAAGGGGGACAAAAGAGATTGTAAAAATTATAGGGGAATAAGTTTACTGAGTATACCAGGAAAAGTGTACGGTAGGGTTATTATTGAAAGAATTAGAGGCAAGACAGAATGTAGGATTGCGGATGAGTAAGGAGGTTTCAGAGTGGGTAGGGAAGTCAAAAAACGTTATCTATGGAGGCAAAGAAGGGAATGTATGAAAGTATCGTAGTACCAACACTCTTATATGGGTGTGAAGCTTGGGTTGTGAATGCAGCAGCGAGAAGGCAGTTGGAGGCAGTGGAGATGTCCTGTCTAAGGGCAAGGTGTGGTGTAAATATTATGCAGAAAATTTGGAGTGTGGAAATTAGGAGAAGGTGTGGAGTTAATAAAAGTATTAGTCAGAGGGCTGAAGTGGGGTTGTTGAGGTGGCTTGGACATTTACAGAGAATGGATCAAAGAATGACATGGAGAGCATTTAAATCTGTAGAAGGCAGGCAGGGTAGGGGTCGTCATCGAAAAGGTTGGAAGGAAGGGGTAAGGGAGGTTTTGTGGGCGAGGACTTCCCGCAGGTGTGCATGAGCGTGTTCAATAGGAGTGAATGGAGACGAATGGTATTTGGGACCTGACGATCTGTTGGAGTGTGAGCAGGGTAATATTTAGTGAAGGGATTTTGTTTAATAAATGTATGAAAGAGGGGAAGGTACCTAGGGATTGGCAGAGAGCATGTATAGTCCCTTTATATAAAGGGAAAGGGGACAAAAGAGATTGTAAAAATTATAGAGGAATAAGTTTATTGAGTATACCAGGAAAAGAGTACGGTAGGGTTATAATTGAAAGAATTAGAGGTAAGACAGAATGTAGGATTGTGGATGAGCAAGGAGGTTTCAGAGTGGGTAGGGGATGTGTAGATAAAGTGTTTACATTGAAGCATATATGTGAACAGTATTTAGATAAAGGTAGGGAAGTTTTTATTGCATTTATGGATTTAGAAAAGGCATATGATAGTGGATAGGGGAGCAATGTGGCAGATGTTGCAAGTATATGGAATAGGTGGTAAGTTACTAAATGCTGTAAAGAGTTTTTATGAGCAAAGTAAAAGGACACAAGTGCAACAAATGTGACATTTATTGTGGCAACATTTCGCTCTCCAGGAGCTTTATCAAGCCATTATAATGGCCACAATAAATGTCACATTAGTTGCACTTGTGTCCTTTTACTTTACATATTGTCGGTAATTCTACCAACTTTATTACAGTTTTTATGAGGATAGTGAGGCTCAGGTTAGGGTGTGTAGAAGAGAGGGAGACTACTTCCCGGTAAAAGTAGGTCTTAGACAGGGATGTGTAATGTCACCATGGTTGTTTAATATATTTATAGATGGGGTTGTAAAAGAAGTAAATGCTAGGGTGTTCGGGAGAGGGGTGGGATTAAATTATGGGGAATCAAATTGAAAATGGGAATTAACAGTTACTTTTTGCTGATGATACTGTGCTTATGGGAGATTCTATAGAAAAAAGGCAAAGGTTCGTGGATGAGTTTGGGAATGTGTGTAAAGGTAGAAAGTTGAAAGTGAACATAGAAAAAAGTAAGGTGATGAGGGTATCAAATGATTTAGATACAGAAAAATTGGGTATCAAATTGGGGAGGAGTATGGAAGAAGTGAATGTTTTCAGATACTTGGGTGTTGACGTGTCGGCGGATGGATTTATGAAGGATGAGGTTAATCATAGAATTGATGAGGGGAAAAAAGGTGAGTGGTGCATTGAGGTACATGTATATGTGGAGTAAAAAAAGTTATCTATGGAAGCAAAGAAGGGAATGTATGAAAGTATAGTAGTACCAACACTCTTATATGGGTGTGAAGCTTGGGTGGTAAATGCAGCAGCGAGGAGACGGTTGGAAGCAGTGGAGATGTCCTGTCTAAGGGCAATGTGTGGTGTAAATATTATGCAGAAAATTCGGAGTGTGGAAATTAGGAGAAGGTGTGGAGTTAATAAAAGTATTAGTCAGAGGGCAGAAGAGGGGTTGTTGAGGTGGTTTGGTCATTTAGAGAGAATGGATCAAAGTAGAATGACATGGAAAGCATATAAATCTACAGGGGAAGGAAGGCGAGGTAGGGGTCGTCCTCGAAAGGGTTGGAGAGAGGGGGTAAAGGAGGTTTTGTGGGCAAGGGGCTTGGACTTCCAGCAAGCGTGCGTGAGCGTGTTAGATAGGAGTGAATGGAGACAAATGGTACTTGGGACCTGACGATCTGTTGGAGTGTGAGCAGGGTAATATTTAGTGAAGGGATTCAGGGAAACCGGTTATTTTCATATAGTCGGACTTGAGTCCTGGAAATGGGAAGTACAATGCCTGCACTTTAAAGGAGTTTTGGTATTGGCAGTTTGGAGGGATATTTTGTGTATCTTTATGCAGTGGACCCCCGCATAACGATCACCTCCCAATGCGACCAATTATGTAAGTGTATTTATGTAAGTGCGTTTTACGTGTATGTTTGGGGGTCTGAAATGGACTAATCTACTTTACAATATTCCTTATGGGAACAAATTCGGTCAGTACTGGCACCTGAACATACTTCTGGAATGAAAAAATATCGTTAACCGGGGGTCCACTGTACATATATGCTTCTAAACTGTTGTATTCTGAGCACCTCTGCAAAAAGTGATTGTGTGAGTATGGTGAAAGTGTTGAATGATGATGAAAGCATTTTCTTTTTGGGGATTTTCTTTTTTGGGTCACCCTGCCTCGGTGGGAGACGGCCGACTTGTTGGGGGGGGGGGAAATTCAGGGAAACCGGTTATTTTTATATAGCCGGACTCGAGTCCTGGAAATGGGAAGTACAATGCCTGCACTCTAGAGGAAGGGTTTTGAGATATTAGTTTGGAGGGATATGTTGTGTATCTTTATACGTAATATGCTTCTAAACTTTTGTGTTCTGAGCACCTCTGCAAAAACAGTGATTGTGTGAGTGAGGTGAAAGTGTTGAATGATGATGAAAGCATTTTCTTTTTGGGGATTTTCTTTTTTGGGTCACCCTGCCTCGGTGGGAGACGGCCGACTTGTTGGGGGGGGGGGAAATTCAGGGAAACCGGTTATTTTTATATAGCCGGACTCGAGTCCTGGAAATGGGAAGTACAATGCCTGCACTCTAGAGGAAGGGTTTTGAGATATTAGTTTGGAGGGATATGTTGTGTATCTTTATACGTAATATGCTTCTAAACTTTTGTGTTCTGAGCACCTCTGCAAAAACAGTGATTGTGTGAGTGAGGTGAAAGTGTTGAATGATGAAAGTATTTTCTTTTTGGGGATTTTCTTTCTTTTTGGGTCACCCTGCCTTGGTGGGAGATGGCCAACTTGTTAAAAAAAAAAAAAAAAAAAAAAAAAAAAATAATTATCTCCCTTAAAATAAAAGAATTCAGGGGAAACTGGTTAGCTGTATTTTAATTCCAGAGGCGAGAGGTACAATCCCTATTCCTTGAAAGATGGGTAGGGAGGATACATTTTGGAAGATTATTTGAATTGAGATATTTACATGCTTTTAGCAAGCCAGCTGTTGAATGATTTTTTTTTTTTATTTTTTTTTTTTAGTCACTGTTGTGGTAAGAAGTGACCAACTTGTTACAAGGGAAAATTGTCATTATGAATTTTGTACTGGAAGTGTTAAAACGTGTGAACCATTGCTGTTCTTTGAAGAAGGTAAAGACAAGTTCAGTAAACTAATAACTAATAAAATAAAATGTTTGAAAGTGCAGTGTGCCTTAAAGAACACAAAATGTACCCGAAACTCAAAATGTATTGCAATTGTAAGAAATATTGCTGGTAGTATAATAAGTAGCTTGTAGATGCAACCACTCAAGAAATAATGCTACTGTCCTGTCATAAGAGTGATGCTGAAATCTGTTTCACACTGCCCCTATAGAAACTATAGTTCACATTTTTTGGCTAGATCCCCCTCCCCTTTTTTTTTTTTTTTTTTTTTTTAAAGGAATCAATCAGTTGAATTAACACACTGTTAATAGAAAAGAACCTTGACTGCCTTCTGTGGGCAATTTGTGATAAACTTGAGAATTGTAGAGCATCAAAGAAGTATAAAAGTTAATTATGCACTTCAACAGATAGGCTGAATCTTTCAGAATTTTAAATTAATAATTATTACCATGCCATTATGTTTATCATTGCACTCTGCTCTCTTCTGAGAGATTCACCTTTATTACGTCTTACCATTAAGGAACATTCTATTAAATTTTTCTAAATCTTCAGAGCCGTGATCATGACTACATTCCGGATGCATACGATGAGCTGCTTACCCAGGCGGAGATCCAAGGACACATCACTTACGTGAATGGTTCTCTTTTTTTTTTTTTTAATAGACTGTAGTAATCAGTTCTTTATTTGTAGTAGTATTTAGGAGTCGCACTGCATTGCTAGACTTGTAAGATGGTTAAAGAATGCAGTTTCAGTTGCATAAAGTTTTAGCCACCAAATAATTTTGAAAATTTCTTAGTTTATAGCGCTGCTTTGTATTTGTTGCCCCTATACAAAAGAAAATGAGGATAAACACATCTACAACCCAAATTATCATATAATTTACATAGATCATAAGATGCCTAATGGTAACCTGTTTTATCAGAAGTAGATAAATGGCTTGATGTTCTGTTGGTGTGAACAGGGTTACATTTATGAAGGCATTCCCTACAGGGGTGAGGGGGTTTTGATTAAAAAAGTGGATCTGTCCCCTAGGGTAGAATCCAATTGCCTCCCATTCCTTATATGGTTTATGACTGGGTTTTGTGCTTTTTCCAGATTAGAATAATAATTATGAATGGATTTGGGTAAACTGGTTAGCTGGACTCAGATCTTGGAGGTGGGAGGTACAGTACCTGCACTTTGAAGGAGATGATGTAATAAGGAGAATCACTTGAATTGTGATGTCTACACTTCTGGCAAGATAGCTGTTGAATGATGAATAATTTCTTCCTTCATCCTAACTTGGTGAGATGGCCAGTGTTAAAAAAATATAAACCCTCAATTTAATAGACTTTGGCAGTATGGGACAAAATCTGCTGGGTTGAGTGATTCAGAACCCATAGACAAAGTCCATTGGTTATGGAATTGTGTATAGTGTTTTTCTAACACTCCAGCTGTCTCCCCCATGGTAGAGTGGCTCAACAAAGAAGAAAACCCTTTCAGTGTCACCCAGTCACTCTTGCCAGAAGGATGCTTACATCATAGCTCAAATGACCCATACTGCAGAATCCCCACTCCAGAGTGCAGGCACTCTGTCCAGCTAAGTGGTTTCTGAATTTTTTCATAAGTTACTGTGTGTGTTTTCATAAGTTACCTTTCTCACAGTCTGATAGCACATCGAATCATAAAAACCACTTGCTTCCACACGCCCCTATCTAACATGCTCTTTTTTTTTTTTTTTTTTTTTTTTTTTTTTTTTTTTTTTTTTTTTTTTATTTATCTAAGTGCCTAGTATTCAAAACCACCTCCCTTGAGCCTTTCCTAGGATGACCCCCTAACCTTCCTTCCCTCCCCAGATTTGTATGGCCTCCTATTCATTTTATTTTTCTCCATCCTCCCTAAATGTCCAAACAACCTTGGCTTTCTGAATAATACTTTGTAATTCCACAACAACTAATCTTCCAACTCTGAATTCTCTGCCTATTCATACCACACATTCCCCTTGAGCACATCTCGACTGCCTCCAGCCTCCTCTTCACTGTAACATTCCAACCCCATGCTTCAAACCATACAGTGGTGTTGGGATCATTATGTTCTGACACTTTCCCCTCTTTTTCATTATAGTCCTTTGTCTCCACAGATGCCTCATGAGTGGTTACTATAAATTAATAACTATGTACAGTAGCTAAGAACACTAATGATAATTGTGGAATAACAAGTTTGCTTTAAAGGTAAATTAATGTTCCTGTTTTTCTTGTTTCATTACTGTGGATGTTTACTCCTATTATATTTGTTGATTTTTAGTTTTAAATTTATTGTATTTAAACTACCAAACCACTTAACAAGCATCTTGTTATAAAAATATTTTATAAATCATTGTTGCCTAATTAGTTGCAATAATATCTTATTTTATCTGTAAATCAGCTTTTTGTGCTACTGAGAGAGTGGAAGATGCAGTTCGAGATGAGAATGTTGAGGCCTTGATCCAAGCACTTTGCTCACCAATCCTCTGTCTCAAGGTTAGTCAGGAGTGTATTCAGAATACGTCCTGCTTTTGTCCACCTAATACACTTTAACTGTTTTTTATTGAGCATGGTGTTATATTAAGGTGAGCTTTGCCTGTTCTGTTTTAACCTTCAAATATTTATCAATTAACTTCTATACTGTTCCTGAAATGTGTGGTTGTAGCATCTTTCAGCATCACTGTGTTGTTTCTAATAATGGTTTATTGCTAACTGTATTTGCATTTGTTTCTGGTGTTCATTCCTGGGATCATTGCCTCGATGTTGCAGCCTCAAACCAGGCCTATTGGTTGACAGCCTAATTAGTCTTTGATGTCTTCTTGAAATTTGGTTTGAAGCTGTCATTTTCCAAACTTCCCATTTCTTTTCCCATAAGCTAATTTTGTATAGCTTGTCGCCATTAATACTGGTATCCCATTTCCCATAGTAATAAAATGGAAAGGCATCTGCCAAGAAAGGAAAAATATTACTGGAAGATGGTTTTCTTTACATCATGAGCTTGACCATTGTATTACTGCATGTTCTTGGTGCCATTACATTGTTTTATTCATAACCTTCAATCCTTCTTTTCATTATCTCTACTACTGGTACACCCATGCACATTGACAGAATCTCTTCTGTATATTTTTTGGTTATTAATTCCAAAGGAAGGATAACTGTCCCCTTGGTCTAGGTATTTTAGTCACTTATGAATCTTAAGGTGCAGGAGGATGATTGAACGTGTTCTTCAGTGGGGGTTGAAATAAAAAGTAGGTTAGATTTAGTTGAGGAAACTTTTAGAAAAGTAGCTATAGTGTACGAGAGTGGGAGTCAACATCTTAAATATTTAAGACAGTGAGAGAATGGCAGTCATGTAATCACAGCATAATATTCACTGTCAGAAGTGAATTGTTCTATTAATTACCTATTCTGTTAGCTAAAAGGGCATGTGCAACTAATGAAACATTTTACTGACTTGGTCAAGCCAAAGCCATTGGTTAGAAAAAGGCAGTGAAAAGTCTCATTAGTTATTATTATTTATTTATCACACTGGCCGATTCCCACCAAGGCAGGGTGGCCCGAAAAAAGAAAAACTTTCACCATCATTCACTCCATCACTGTCTTGCCAGAAGGGTGCTTTACACTACAGTTTTTAAACTGCAACATTAACACCATGTTATTATCTTATCTAATATTGTTGGCAATTCTCTTAATTTTGTTTACCTATTTCTGTATGTGAGATGAGCTCCGACTCCATCTCGCCTCTTAACTTACGACTGACTGACTAACATGATTGAGGCATGTCTATTTTTAAGCCTTATTTTGACATTCATGTATTTGCCAATTCAATGTATTTACCACTTGGGTTGAAATGCTTCTTAACCACTTCACTGTCCATGCCATAGTACTACACCATGAGCTCAGCTTGCTCAGAGTAACTGTGAGTGGTAAATTTGGGCCTAGATATGAGAGAATGGGTCTATGCAGTAAATGTGCACCATATAAATTTTTTTTTTTTTTTTTTTTTTTTCTCTCTCTCAACAAATCGGTCGTCTCCCACCGAGGCAGGGTGACCCAAAAAAAAGAAAGAAAATCCCCAAAAAGAAAATACTTTCATCATCATTCAACACTTTCACCACACTCACACATTATCACTGCTTTTGCAGAGGTGCTCAGAATATAACAGTTTAGAAGCATATACGTATAGAGATACACAACATATCCCTCCAAACTGCCAATATGTTGAAAATAAGAAAGTTTTGGAGTGAGATAAACAAGTTAAGGAAGCCTAGAGAACAAATGGATATGTCAGTTAAAAATAGGAGAGGAGAGTTATTAAATGGAGAGTTAGAGGTATTGGGAAGATGGAGGGAATATTTTGAAGAATTGTTAAATGTTGATGAAGATAGGGAAGCTGTGATTTCATGTATAGGGCAAGGAGGAATAACATCTTGTAGGAGTGAGAAAGAGCCAGTTGTGAGTGTGGGGAAGTTCGTGAGGCAGTAGGTAAAATGAAAGGGGGTAAGGCAGCCGGGATTGATGGGATAAAGATAGAAATGTTAAAAGCAGGTGGGGATATAGTTTTGGAGTGGTTGGTGCAGTTATTTAATAAATGTATGGAAGAGGGTAAGGTACCTAGGGATTGGCAGAGAGCATGCATAGTTCCTTTGTATGAAGGCAAAGGGGACAAAAGAGAGTGCAGAAATTATAGGGGGATAAGTCTTTTGAGTATACTTGGTAAAGTGTATGGTAGTTATTATTGAAAGAATTAAGAGTAAGACGGAGAATAGGATAGCAGATGAACAAGGAGGCTTTAGGAAAGGTAGGGGATGTGTGGACCAGGTGTTTACAGTGAAACATACAAGTAAACAGTATTTAGATAAGGCTAAAGAGGTCTTTGTGGCATTTATGGATTTGGAAAAGGCGTATGACAGGGTGGATAGGGGGGGAGGCAATGTGGCAGATGGTGTAGGAGGTGGGTTACTAAAAAGCGGGAAAGATTTTTTAGAGGATAGTGAGGCTCAATTTTGTTTTGTAGGAAGGGGAATTTTTTTCCCAGTAAAGTAGGCTTAGACAAGGATGTGGATGTCCCGGGGTTTTTTAATATATTTATGAGGGGTTGTAAGAAAAGGGTAAATGTGAGGGTCTTGGCAAGGTGGAGTTAAAAGATAAAAAATCACACTAAAGGGGGGAGTTGTCCATTTTGCTCTTTGCTGATGACACTGTGTCTTGGGAGATTTGAAGAGAAGTGCAGAGATTGGTGGGTGAATTTGGTAGGGTGTGCAAAAGAAAAAAATTAAAAGTGAAAAAGGAAAGGTAAGGTAATGGGGGAAAACAAAAGATTAGGTGATGAAAGATTGGATACGATTGGAGGGAGAGAGTATGGAGGAGGTGTGTTTCAGATATTTGGGAGTGGACGTGTCAGCGGATGGGTCTATGAAAGTGGGTGAATCTGAATTGATGAGGGGGGAAAAAGGGGGGTTGGTGCACTTAGGATTGTGGAGACAAAAAACTTTGTCCTTGGAGGCAAAGAGGGGAATGTATGAGGATATTTTTTACCAAACGCTCTTTATGGGTGTAAAGCAGGGGGGTGATAAATGTTGCAGGGAAGGTGGGGGGCAGTGGAGATGTCATGTCTGAGGGCAATGTGTGGTGTGAATATAATGCAGAGAATTGTGTTTGGAATTTTAGGAGGAGGGTGGGATTCCCCAAAACTGTTGTCCAGGGTTGAGGAAGGGTTGTTGAGGTGGTTGGGACTGTAGAGAGAATGGAGCAAAAAACAGGTGACTTAAAGAGTGTTTCGTTGTAGGGGAAGGAAGGCGGGGTAGGGGTCGGCCTGGGAAAAGGGTTGGGGGAGGGGGGGTAAAGGAGGTTTTGTGTGCGAGGGGTTGGACTAACCACTGCGTGGGGTTGTTTGATAGGAGTGAATGGGAAAAGGGTTTTTTAAATATTTGACGTGCTGTTGGAGTGTGAGAAAAGCAACATTTATGAAGGGTTTCGGGGGGAAACCAGCGGGCCCAGATTGAGTCCTGGAGATGGGAAGTACAGTCCCTGCGTCGAAGGAGGGGTGTTAATGTTGCAGTTTAAAAATGTAGTGTAAAGCACCCTTCTGGAAAGACAGTGATGGGGTGAATGAGGGGAAAGTTTTTTTTTTTCGGGGGGCCCCCTGCCTTGGTGGGAATCGGCGTGTGATGTTTAAAAAAAAAAACCAGCAGCACTCGGTATAAAGAGAAAAAAATTGCTGTATTGTGTTTTGAAATATTGATTGGGCAGTTTTTTGTGCTCTCAATAAAAGGGAAACATACTAAAAAAGTAGCAAAGTTTGGTCAATGGAAAATGAATTGGCCTAAAAAGGATCCGTGGAGTTTGCCAATGCATAAAGGGTTCCCCAAGAGGTTTTTGCTATGCCATTAAAAACCCCTAACCAAGTACTGGGTTATGAGATGATATTTCACTCCATCTCGTGTCAATAAAAAGAATTTTAAGAAAAACCCCCGCCTAAAACTAACAGGTTTAATCCGCCCCACCCCACGTCAAGAAGCACCTGTATAAGATAAGCCCTTTTTGAATACCATGTGTACCCTTGTCATTAAAAACCAAAAAAATTTTTCTACTTTGGGGTTCCAAAATGGGCACTCGTTCATCACAGGCACGGAGGATGTAAATAAGAAGGGATCACACATCCAAAGGACAAATTGCAATAAAATGTTAGGATTGATCAATGAAGAGAGGAACTATGCGCCATGCAAGCCCGTTATTCGGGACAGGACTCCCCCCTTTTAGCAAATCCCATGACTATAATCCCCCCCTCCCAAAAACCCGAAGAATGCCCTCCAACAGTAAATTGTTTTTTAACCCCAAAAGGATGTTTTCCAATGCCGAAGACCTGAGCGACCTCCAGAAGATACGAATAAAACTGGGCCCACCGAACCTTTTTATGTCTAATGAGGGTTACTCCACCCCAATTTTTGGTGATTTCTCTTACATGTACATTATCAACTATTATACGTAATTGTGTAACATTGGCAATTCTATAAGTGTTGGACACCACCTCCAAAGAAGCTCAGCTGGCCCAGTATTTCTGTAGCAGTAAAGGTGCGTTAACCCCCCCTTCGTCAGCTTGCCATCGTCATTACCAGCTTAAGTCCTGCAATTTACCAAAAAAAAAAAAAAAAAATTTGCAAGTAGTATAACCCTTACTGAGTCAGGGTCATGCAGTTATAATATATTTTTTTTTATTATAAACCCCGGCCCGTTTCCCCCAAAGGGGGGTGGCCGAAAAAAAAAAACTTTCACATCATTCCTCCACACTGTCTTGCCAGAAGGGTGTTTTCCCTCAGTTTTTAAAACTGCAACTTTAACCCCCCCTTTCAGAGTGCGGCACTGTACTTCCCATCCCCGGGGACTAAAGCCCGGCCTGCGGTTTCCCTAAACCCTTATAAATGTTCTTTGGTCCCCCCCAAACAGCACGTCAAGTTTTAAAAAAACCATTGTTCCATTCATCCTACAAACACGCT